AGCGGGCACTTCAGATGGGAATGTGCACCCTGAGCTGACCCACGGCTCTGTGTTCACTACATGCTCCCACCCTGCCAGACGTCCTCCGAGGGCTCCAACACCCTTTTTCAGAAGCCCTTTCGGTATTAAGGAAGCAGGAATCAAAAAAACTCCATTAAATAAAAACGGCCCAAATTTTTCAGACACATCGAATGGGAACTGAGCACTTCTAAGGGTCCCATGAAGTTTATATAAGCAGCTGTAGGTGACTAAGGGACAGCAGAAACCAGGCCCTAAGTGATTTGCACCAGTTTTAAAGGAAAGCTGGAAACAAAGCTAGAAAGAATTCAACTCCTTGCTCTGCTCACACTACAAAATGCAGTCATCCATCCCATGGTAAAACTCCCAGCAGAAACTGGGAGGCCATTGGAACTCCCCCAGTCCCCCCAGTGTGCTACAGCGATCAAGAGAAAGCAAACAAACCTCATTTTCCCTGCAGATTTAATGTCCTAGCATGCTATTAAGAAACAGCCTGCTACTGAAAAGTGCAATTTTTTGAAACGGTCTAGAAGTCAAGGCTTTTACTACACGCTGACACAAACCAGCCCATGCTTATGCTGGTTCTCCCAGCCAGGTTAAAAAGTCAATAATCCTATTCGAGGTCCCCCTCCCTCCCACACACCATTTCAGTTTGAAGAATTAGCATCCCCCAAAACTGCCTTAACGCTGCTCCTCGCGCTGACTTGCTGAGCGGGCTGTTCTTCAGCAACACCTCAAGCTGAACAGACAGACACAGGGCTACGAAGGGTGGGAACTGCTTGTCTCAAAGCCTCACACAGATGTTTCCCTTGCCCATAATTGTTCTGGGAAGCGATGCTGGAATTGCCACAACTTCTCTTGCACCTCAACTGAGCGTGGTGCAGCTAATCCAGAGGCACCCAGCTCGGTGGGGACCTCTCCAGGGGCACCCCAAGCCCTAGCGGTCATAACCTTACCTGCTGGACCGCGTCAGCGATGCGCCCACCCCGGAGTCCCTCCTGTCCTGCATCCCCCCAGGCTCTTCCATCTCGTTCAGCGAATTCCCTGTGCTGTCAAGGTCACTCGGCGTTGTTCGATCGTTATCGACATCGAGGTGGATCTGCTTTGGAGAGGAAGGACACGGGGAGATGGAGTCGAGTGCCGAGTCGGAGTCCCCTTCATCCGAGAACTTCTCTGACCACTGGTTTACTATTCTCTGCATCCCTTTGACGTGGTACAGGATGTCATCTAGTTCTGGGAATATGTCTTCGTTTTCGAGGTCGGCCAGGTCGCTCGTACTGGAATACAGGATTGAGCCCGGCACGTTGTCGTAAATACTCAGGCGGCTGCTCACTGAGCTGGAGGAGTTGCGCCTTTTCCCCATGCCGAGCTCTTTGGAGCTGTCGCCGCTGTTTTCCCTCCGGAGGGTTAGATGGCCATGTCCATGGAAACTCCCTGTCCTCCAGTTCACAGAGGCATTGCTTTCTGTCGGGGAGAAGTTGCCGTTGGAGAGTGCTTTGGGAAAAGTGCCGGGCTTATGATCTTCGGGGATAAAGAACACCGTGTCTTCTGCAAAGCTTTCCCGGTTCTTGAAGTTCTGCTCCATCACATCACTGAACGTTGACTGGTTGAAGGGGTCAAAGCCTTCCAGGTACATGCCCACCCTTTTGTTGTACGCGCTGAGGCTGCGTGTTCGTGTGACGGGACTGGGGGTGCTGACGGCACTGCTCGTCTCTGACTGGCTGCTGCTGCTGCTGGTCTGGGTGGAATTGGAGACGCTCCTCTTTCGTACCATGGGGAGGCTGATGTGGTTGCCGTTGAGGGCAGAAATCTCCACGCAGTTAAGCTGTTTCAGTTTGTCTTCATCCATGCCCTCCTGCAGGATGGGCCCACTAATAATAAGGCCAAGCTTTGAAGGAGCTTTGCTCTTGCCATGGTGAGAACTCTTGATTTTCAGGCTCTCCATTCTCTTGAGCAGGCTCTTTGTTTTGGACTTGGCGTTCTTCTCGTTGGCTTTCGTGTTGAAGCTGAAGCTACTCAGCTCCCTGGGTGAGGACAGGCTGCTGAACGAGTCATCATTTGCTACGAAATTGCTCGACGAGCAAACGCTCACGACGGAGTTTGTCCTGGTGGTCGAGGCCTCGCTCTGCAGGGTTGGCTGGTGGCTGCTGGTGCTGCTGATGCTCAGAATGGAAGCCACGTCCTGGCGTTCGCTGAGGTCCGTCAGCACGCTCTCACGGCTTGCTGCGTTTGTAAGGTGAGGAGCCTCCGGGGACGGGGTATTCAAGTCCGGTTTTGGAGGGAACACATCAAACTCTTCAAGCCTCGACCACCTCTTGCTGTCCCTCTGAAAAGTCCATTTGCCACTTATTGCACAAGGTTCATCTTCATCAGAATCTTCGCTCTGCAAGGAAGAAGAACCCTGAAAGTACTGCTCCCAAACTGCCCAAACTGCAAAGGTGGCTGCATTTAAATACAATGCCCACTAAACTGCTCTAAGCATGACCTTGTTCTCAGCGAATTTAAAGTGAAAACAATCTTTTACTTCAGGGAGAGGCAGATTAGGCCATAAAGCCCATCACAGGAAAAGATAACGTGGGACAGGCAATAGATTTTAACAGTTTTTAAATACAAAAGATGTACGCTTCGTAAAAAGAAACAAACAATACAATCTGCTTTAAATTGCTCTTTTCTAAAACCCTAGTATCCATAGACTTTTAATTAATTGGTCACAGTGGATAGCCCTCCAGATCAATGGAAATTCCTGGCATGCATAAAATTTTAAACTGGAGTCAGTCAGGGGTTGGGGGGTCCCTCTGGACTCTCTCCAGAGTTACACTCTGTTGATAGCGGCTGTGTGTTTATACTCCTCTTTGCAATCATGAGATGTTTCTCATGCGCTCTGAATTGTAGCGGCTTCATTCCTCAGAAATTCGGGAAGTCTGAAGGGTCTCCTGGCTGTGACTAATGAGACAGCAAAAGATGCCTCCAGGCTCTTACCTGGTCCACTCTTCCTCCCACAGGCTAGCAGCTAACATTTTAAGAATGTCCTGTGAAGTTTCTACTTCAGCCTCGCTCCAGGCAAACTTTAACGCTCACTGATAGCGAGCAGCAAGAGCTCACTGACAGCACAGCACGTAAGTAAATTGTAAATAACCATCTCCACTGGTGATGTTTGATGTATGAGTAACGCCTGAGGGCACATTTACACGTACATCACTTACACCTACCATCTCTTTGTCTAAATACTGAAAGGGAATGATCCTGGGACTGACATATTTGGTCTTCCAAATACCTGGAAGATTTCCTGCTGGAAGAATAAAACCAATGCAGGCATTTTAATACGACACCATGGGACCACCAAATAACCTTTGGTGGTCAGAGTAGGAAGCACTAATTGCCACCCAGCTCCATGAGTTTCACTTCCTTTGTTTAGAATGCTTTAATTTAAAAACAAACACATATGCATGCCCCAAACTGTAACTATTTGTGTGCCAGGAATACAGACAATTATTCTCTGAAAAACAAGTAAATTATTCATATTTCAGGTATTCTATTTACGCATACTTTAGCTCCTGATCCTCTCCTAGTTTTTTGGGTTGTTTGGGTTTTTGTACAGCACATTTCATCAGCTCAGCAAAATAAGTGAAACACCATATTTATTTTTTGTAACCAAATACACACGGGACACAGAGCAAGCGTCATTTTCTTTGTTTCCCAACTGCTACCAACTACTTCTGTCCATGACTCAGATGAAAACCTAAGAGGGCTGGCTTGCTTATTTAAAGTTTTCAGGAAGAAAAAAGTCACCTGAAACTTCCAATGGATAATAATGATGGTTTGGTGGTGAATGTGGTTTGACTGGAAAAAAAGGAGCAGTAAAGTGATCTTAATTTGCAAAGAGCTCAATGCAAACACAAGAAAAGATACGTTTCGGTCAGCACAATTTTTCCCTAGTGCTAAAAAGCTTTAAAGGCTAAGTCTTGGTTTTAATGAAGTTGACAACAAAAGGGAACAGGATTCAAGTCCACCTGCCAGAACATGAGTGGTGAACGAAAATCAGGAAGGACTGAAACAACAGGTAACGTCCAGACTCCCGAAGATCTAGGGTTTGGACCCGAAGTTGGGTCTGGTCTGACCTCTAAGAGCAATACTGATCATTCCAGTGTTAACAGGCTTCAGGAACCAGGAGGAGCAATCTTCTGGTGGTCATAAACGGCAATCCAGCTGCCTACCCCTACTTTTAAAGAGTTCCTACGTATGCTGCCTCAGAGTGTTATCTTCTGGAGCATGGATGCTGTTTCCAACATACCACAAGCAGATA